CGCGACACTGAGGGTTGCGATCCGTTGCCGGACACGGAAAAAGACAAAAAAAAAAAAAAAAGGTTATTTGTAAATTAAATTAATTCATAATTCATGGCACCTTGCCAGTTAAATAATTCAGTAAAAGTATTTGCAAAGCAAATGATCTTTTCCAGCATGTAGGTCAGCTACGCATAACAGAAAACCCAGTGGATTAACCAAATGGGAGTTTTTTTTGTTTTGTTTTCTTCTCTTGTAAAAGACATCTGGAGATGGGCAATGCAGGGCTGGATGGGGGCTCGCTCCCTGGTGCTCTTAGGAGCCCAGCTCCTTCATCCTGTTCAGCCGTTCTTAGCACGTGGCATAGCACGTGGCAAAGCACATGCTGTTCATTTTCATACTTAGTGCCTCAGTGCAGGGTGGCTGCTCAAACCTCCAGTGTTGCGTTCCTCTTCCAGGCAGGAGAAGACCTGTAGAACACAAAAGGCTGGTGGCAGCTGAGTCTTTCCCTTTAAAGAGTTCACTGAGAAACTCCATCAAATGACCTGGCTTACATGTCAGTTTCCAGAACTGTCCTATGGCCACCTCTTGCTGCAAGGGAGGCTGTCACTGTAGGGGTTTGTTGTTGTTGTTGTTGTTGTTTTTTAAATTTAGTACATCGTGGTTGGTCCTGAGAAAATTGGAGTTTGGTCATTAAGGAAGAAGAAAATAGATACAGATAGGCAGCCAGTAGTGTCTGCCACATGAGAATCTACATGTACCAATTTTCATAGATCAGTTTGCAAAGTAGGACACATGACACAATTTCCCACTTACATCCAGGCCATAGGTCAGCTCTGTTCTAGAAATAGTGTTAGGTTTTCATTGCTGTCAAGTTTTCCCAGCTCACAACCTTAGCTTATATGAGGTCTTTGTGTCTGAGCTTGATTTACACATTAAAAGTTGCATTGTAAGGTGCAGTTATCCTAAGTTGTGTTTCTGCTTTCAGGCTGTTGGGAGTGTCTTCAATAAGTGTGTTGTTGACTGAGTACATCTATAACACCCAGCTTTCGTCCCAGAAGAGAAGTCTGTCTAGCCAGCTTCTGCCACTGCTAGTGTTGTGGGTCACATTTCTACGGCCAACCAAGAGGAAAGGGGGCTTTCTTGCTCCAGGTCCGAGCCTGTGGGACTCTGTCATCTGGCCATGGGCACTGCCCCTTTCCTGTAATGTCTGTTAGTATATGGCATGTCAGCAGTCTTAAAGAGCCCCACCATTTGGTTATGGAGGGGCTGGAATTTCCATGATAACTTTAGAGATCTGGTACATCGTAGTTCAGCTACAAAGTACTGCCTTGCACCGTTGGACCCTTCCTGCTGGCATCCCCTTTTGTAATCCCGATTCCAGTTCAAGTCGTGCCTTTTCTTTTAGC